GGGCGGGCGGCTGTGCCGCGCTCACGGCCGGGCCGCCCCTCAGCCCGGGCCCCGCCGCGGAGCAGCCTCCTGCCGGCGACCGAGAGCCGCAGCCCCGAGGCCGAGCTCGCCCCGAGGAAGGGGGGCAGATGTTGGCGTGGTGTGAGGAAACTGAGGCTGAAGGAGGCAGCGGTGCTCCGAGTCACAAGGAGCAAACGTGCACGCGCATGGTTATTACAAAACGTGGTAATCTTTCTTGTGCCTTTCAGGCGCGAAGCCGGGGGGGGGGACACACCTAACACTGCCCTGTACAGACGAAGGTGCCTGAAGTGGCGCTTATGCTGACAAGATGCAAACAACTGTGGTATTTTTAAGACTTAGGCAGTTAATGTCAGCGGCGCTACCCCTCTTTCATACAAAAACATCGCTTTCAGGCCTGTACAGTGCACATACGCAGAGCAGCCATTGGGAGAAATAGAGAAGCGAGGTTTTGCATGAAGAGGGCCCTGGCCATTCATTTACCACAGGGGTGAAGCCGATGTGCCCTTTGCAAACCCAGCCTCTGCTCTGGACACCTGATAAACACCATGGTGACCTTCCACTGCGGTGTTAGTGCTCACTTGCTGAGCCTTGGCGGCTCTTAAATGCCGCCTTTTGATTTGATTGGTAATGGCAGTTTAGTGATCTGCGATACAAAGAAGTCTAATGAACAATCCTGGGATCTTTGTAGGATATGTATCTTTGGACATGAATATTTTAAAATATTTTGATAGGAAAGACTGTTGTATAATTTACTGAATTTTTAATATAATTTTATTTTTTATTCTCATATAGGCTCATCATTTCTGTAGTTACTGCAGCCTAGCTAATTAACGCAGGGTTGGAAGAGTGATTAAAGGAAGGCTCGGATATCTGCATTGTTCTAGTTTAATTGCTGCTCAAGCAATGATTCAGTGTTGGTTTTGGCAGTTCAGCAGCATTTGTCTGGCACTGTGAAATTCCCTGTTTATGTCCATGAGACTCATCTGTTGTTGATGGGCAAAAGCATGCAGATCTGCAAAATTTTTAGTAGCATACAGACTTGTGGAAGGAATAGGTTTTGTTACATGCCTTACAATGTTTTGGCTGAGATGCTCAGGTGGTGCCTGTTGTAACAGAGCCTGATAGCTAGAGTCTCCTCACCTGTGTAGACAGAATTGGGTCATGTGGCTGGTGCAGCGCCGGAGAAGAGGGGAGCAGGCTGGAAGGAGCCATCCATGCTGCAGGGGGGCTGTTCTGGCAGCAGGACTGCAGAGGACTCGTTTCCTACACCTCCCCACTGCCTAGAGAAAAGCCATCTTGGTGTAAGTAACCCGTGTGGTACCTAACCCAGAACTGGATGTGAACATGAAGCATGCAAGAGCAGGAACTGGAGAGACCATGCAGGTGATTGGAGAAGATGAAATAATCTGCAAATGCTCCTCATAGCAATTTATGAAGGCAAACAAAACTTGAGCAAACTGGTAACAGAACCTGGAAAGTGTTTGTGCTCTGAGGGCACTGATAGGCCTTGATGGCCCTGACCAGCCTCACCTGGGGCCTTCACCCACACCTGCCCAGGTGCCCCAGTTCAGCTTAAGCTGAGTCCCTCAGTCCTGGATAGACTTCAGACCGATGCTGTTAGCAGCTTGGCTCCTGGATGGACCCTTCATGCAAGCACGTTATAGCTTGCATCCAGCCCTGTTTCCTGGATGGACTTCAGACCTATGCTGTAGCCTTGTCACCAGCCCTGTCTCTAGCCTTGTCTCTTTTTGCTCCTGGCTGGACTCCCTGGGTGTATCTGGGGCTTGGTTCACCACTTGACTCTCTTGGGACTGTTAGTGGCTGGTGTTGCCTGCATCCAGCTCTGCTGGCCGTGTTCAGACCCTGCAAGGCTGAGCCCTGCCGGTGAGGGCACTGCCTGCACCGAGATGTCTCTCTGCTTATGCCTTGCCTTGCTTTAGGTTACTGAGTAAGCAGGTTTGAGTATTTTTATTACTTAAGTAAAAAACCCACATATCACTAAATACATCAATGTAAGTATGCTGACGATTAGATACAATTTGGTGACCTCAAATGAGCTAATACATTTAAAAATACATAACATTAATCGTAAAGAAATAGGAGTAAATTAGCAATTTATATGTGGCAAAACACTGTAAAGATACCTCCAAAATGCTTCCAGATGCTAGAAAACATTTTCAGAAACAGAGGTTGAAATTCATAGGTTTATACAGGCCAGTTGCTGCCTCTGTTCCTGGA